ACAGGCAGTGGATATAAAAAAGGTACATTTCCTTTAAAATATGTATAGCTTCTAAACAAAATGTTCTACAAAAAACCTATAGAAAGCGAATAAATATATTTTCTAATCGTATTCAGTGCAGAAAAGCCAATCAAAACTGCACTGGAGAGGTATTTGTTTCAACCTTTTTAAAACAAAAGAATTCCTAACATCGCCATAAAAAAAAGAATGTCGAGTTAGAGTGCCAGAACGCGTTCGCCATAGTTGAGAGCGTTGTTCAGAGCGCGTCGTAAAAGCAAGCTTCTATTCATCATCCGGCAAGGCAACCACTTGTTGGTGTAGAAGGCACGTAGCGGAAGCGTTTTGGAAGATTGGCTTCAAAACGCGAGCTCAGGAACAGCATAGGGATACGTGCGCGGCTAAAAACGTCGCTGATGTCGTCTTTTCCCTGGTTTCCACGATTGGCCAAAAGCTTACTACGACGTCTGTAGTGAGCTTAATTATGGTTGCATTGACGAAAAAAAGGAGCAATGTCACACTGTCAACTCTGACGGTGTTGGCTTAAGAGAGTATGGCTGCCAGCTACGCCGTACTATTTAGACACAGCATCGAAGTTGTCGCTTGAACATATAATGAGTGTGCTGTTCCCAAACTAACACGTGACGGAGGATGACGATGAGGAAGAGAGACGACGATGAAGCTGGGGAAAGAATAAGACCGTCATTACTCTTGTACCGTATTTTCCGGTCTATAATCCGCACGTTGTGCATAGTCCTCACTTAGTGCCTAGTCCGAACGTAAAAAAAGTGTCATACACAGCACACCTTGACAAATGCCAACTGTATTAGCTCGCAAAGAAGCTTTATCGTAGATAAATCAATGTTAACATAGTCCGTTACTCATAAAATCCTTCAAGACTTGTCAAAGTGAACGATCTAGAAAAAAAAATCATTGCATATTCCGCACCTGTGGATAGTCCATATCGGGTGAATTTTCAGCTTTTATTCACGTATAGACCGCGGTCCATAGTCCGGAAAATGTGGTAAATAAAGTAGAACTACAGTGACCAAGAAACACTGTAAAAAGCGGTGGGCTCCGCGTGAGGGTCATCATGTTGAACCTTCCAAGTGGCGCTAGCACTCTTTTCTCGATTACTGCCGCCCTCATGAGTGACCGGGCATCCCCGCTGCTTTTGTTACTCCTCGTACTAGTTCTAGTCAACTAGTAAACAACACATCAAAATATGCGTCGTTTTGTCCGTCCTTCATGTTTTATTCTTTATTGCAGTTGAATTTATCGCCAACGCGCTCAACTAAAGTATATTCTAGTTCTAGATCACTGCACAGAAACATTGAAACCCTGAAATAAAACACGGGATTATTATTAACAATCTTGCCCAGCGCGCTTGCACCCTTGCATAAATTGCATTAGAATCATCAAGTTAATATTGCAGGACGTTAATCCTTGCTGGCGTCAGACTGGTGACAGCCGATAAAACTCGTCCGCTCTACGAACGAGTAATTTCTAGTTAGCTCAGTTTGTAGAGCGCTGCACTGGAAATGGAGAGGTCCTTGGTTCGATACCAGGACCAGGCGGGTTTTTATGGCCACGCACCAGTCACCTAGCTGTGTTTGGAGATGTGTGTTTGTCCTTTGTCCCCTTTGTTCCCCTTCTCCAGGGATTATTTTTGCCATGTGTTTGATAGCTTCGTTTATTGCCAGCACTACATCTGATGTCTGCCTGCCCAATTTTATTTGACGGTTTAGGTAATTGCTTAGCACACTGTTTGAATTCGTATTTCCAGATACGCAAAGAATTTCCATTCAAGGTTAAGCGATGGAATGGCAGTATACCTTCACGATACTTGAATTTAGGTTGGATGCGACCAAATTACTTCTGCATTGTAATTGAATTAGATTTCTAATTTTCTTCCTTATTGACTAAAGTATTACTGAATTGCACTTTAATTCCATTTCATTACAATTTCAAATTAGGCTTGAAACGTATAGACATCACTTAAAATTACGTTTTTATCTCCGTATACATAAAAAAGGATTAAACGTTTATTTTTACAGATAATATTATTCATATCATAAACATTTAATCTACATAAGTTACCGTAGCGATGCGGATTGTGAAAAAAATAAGATCAGTTTTAGAGGCGATAGTTATGAAGGACTATATTTCGTGTTTTGTCCCAAATCTGAATTATATCATGCTTCAGTGTCTCGTCGTTTAGGACAAGCAGAATAGAGATGATTGACTGCTTCGTTTTTTGTTCTCCTTCGATTCCCCCCCCCCCCCCCCCCCCAAAAAAAAAAAAAAAAATAATTGACCAGCAGCTCAGCTGCCCAGTCGTGGCGGTCCTAAAATTATACCAATATTATATTATTAAAACTGACTAAATGTTTTCTTAGTGGTTGCTTCATTTTCAGACCTTACATCTACAGCCTCTGTCCCTGCACTTTATTATTCCCTTCTTGAACTGTAGATCCTTTTCAGCGAATATAAATCTGTCGTCCTTTTGGGGAGAACAACGTCACTAGAGAACGTCGAAGCTGCTCGAAACGGGAAACGGGAAGGGGAGGGGGGGGGGGGGGGGGGCTTCATTTTTATCTTATTTGTTTACAGCGGATTTGTTAAGCGCTAGTTTCCCCAGGATCCCGACCGCCAGCAAAGAAATGTCCACACACCACTCCGGTCACCTACCGCCATCTATGAGCGACGGGGCCAACCAGACAACCGGCTTACCGGTTGTCTGATTGCCGCCGTCGCTCATAGGTGGCGCCAACCTCTCCAGTCTTTCCACTCTGGCTTGGCGACTTCCGGCCGGCCATTACTTCATTCCCATCATAGTACAGGTACGCTGCTCTTCCTTCTTCACCGGAGTGGAAAGGCTAAAAGTTTTTCAATAGCATTGAGTGTTTGCGTACTTTTCCACTACCTATTACAGGCTCCAACGAGTTAATTGCTTTCTATCGTCAAGCGTGTCAACTAGTCTCATAGTCTTTGTTTTTTATTTATTTTCTCATCCGCTCCTCCCCCCCTCCTCCCTAGTCTTGCCGGACCTCTTTTATTTTTGTCACTAAAATCTTCCGTCTTTCTTTGCGTTCGAAAGTAGACCTGAAACAGAAACGCCGTTCATTATTTTCATCCCCATTACCACCCTAGGATTATTAATTGCATTATTAAGTTACCTGCACCAGGAAATAATTACATTAGTAATTGCTTTAATTGGTAAATTTATTACTTAATTTCATTATTGCCACCACTGGTTTAGGCAGATCCATGAACGCTGGTCCTTTCAGTGCAAGATATTTTATCTTAGAGGCTTAGTATTCTCTAAAAATATCTTCAAGACAAAATAAAAACTGTTACATTTAGATCCAACTCTTACAGTGGGTGAACATCGTAGTTTATTAATCAGCAAACCTGAATGGTTCGACTTACTATAGGCATACTTATTTTTATACTTATTACCCTTCTGAAAGTATTAATTACTCGATGTCAGGATCAGATCTCATTTTTGGTGGTACCAACCCTATTGAAAATTCCATCAAGCTACGTAATTTGGGACACTGACTGCCAGTCAGCAGCCTTGGTGGAACGTGATGGACCATCAGACGTCATCTGATGGTCCATCGGATGACGTCTGACTGCCACTGCCAAGGGAATTTCACCAACAGGGGCAGCATTTATATAAGAGTAAAGCTACACGGACTCATAAATATCGCCAAATGCCTCGATGAAACAAAATGATCGAGAAAAAAAAAAAAAGCAGCACCACCGCGCATCAAACCCTCGACCACATGCGTACAAACCGGACACCTTAACCGCTATGCTACACCACCGTTAGAGAAACTCGATTTGATTATTCGTTTTATACGAAATGCTTTGGCTGCAAATGCGGTTCAGCCGTCAGCATGTTATGCAAAGCACTCGTACATCACTCGCCGTACTTCAGTTCTACTCACCTGCCATGTAGAGTACTTTCGCGTCGTAGAACGATCCTTTTGTTCGCGCATCACCGGCCCAGTAGACCTGGTACACCCTGTCGTCTTCAACTACACCGCTTAAGTCCCTTACATCGTCGGAACTCACGACAGGCTGGGTCTTGTCGAGTAGAAATTCTACTAAACATAAGACATTGTAGAGCCCGGGCAGGATCGACGGGTTGGAGCAAGCGGGCAAACAAAACGAGTCGAGAGCGATCGTTCATGAAAGCTCGACGAAGCCTCTACGGGCGAAGCGAAGTGCGAAGTGTCGTGTTCGGCGCTTCGGCGGGCTTCTGATCAAGGTTGTCGGTCGGTTGCGTGTCATATCTCTAACGTCAGCGGTTTTATGGGCTCACGTCCTAAAATCGTTTTCTCGTGCATAGATTACTTTTCGTATTCATAGATTTGACGAAATAGTGGTATCCGAACGAACTTTACGTCCTTTGACCGTACGTCTGTCTGCACGTCAAAGCTTTCTGACGTACAGTCAGAGACAATCGATGTACAGTCAGAATCACCACCAAGACATCCTGATGGCATTTCGCGGCGGCCGACTGCCACCAGGAAACCATCAGAAAGCCGACAAGCGGGGTCTGACTGGAGTTTGACTGTCGGTCAGAGTAACTTGTTGGCCAATCAGACATGCTTGACGTACAGTCAGGCACAGTCAGCGGTCCACTAGAAAACATTGACTGCCAAGCAGGGTTACATTGATGGATTTTTCCTTGGGGAACGTGGTTTGTTCTCTACTTATTATGATATAATAGCCATTTTTTGTCAGTTATGGCCAGGTTGATGAATGGTAATTAGCAAAATATCAAAAGATAACTTTGCACCAACTTTTGAGTAGTCAGAACAAGGAGATTTCACAGCAAACACTTAACTGTAGAAAATTCGACGCGCCTGAATGGAACAAACTATATAAAAAAATTATAAAATGTATATTCCAAAAACTAAATATCGCGAAAACAATGAATGGCAATCGGCTTTTTTTTCAAAGTTAATGAAGTTGGAAGTTCCGGATACCTGTAGGCGCCGGGCTCAATGGTGATGACGTGGACCCCGCGCTCGTAGTACTGCCTGCGTAGTCCGTCCGCCAGTGAAATTACAGCGTGCTTGGTCATGCAATACACCGTCGATTGATGGAAGGTCACCCGACCTGCGTGTTTTTGAGAGATGAAAAAGTGGGCTGTGATTGAATTTCCAGATATAAAGAAAGAACACCAGCTAACATCAGTATGTCAGCATTTACTGATGAAAAAGGCGACATGCGAACATCTATGCCAATAACATATTTATTTCATTGTGATAAAACTTTATTTATAATCTAAGAGTGCATATTTCTTTATCCCGTGTAAGTTTCCAAAGCCCGTAACTACACTGTTCGACGTGCTTTGGTTTGGAGATCTTACCTCATGAATAATTACTGTATTATGATTATTTCAGAGAAACCTTTATTCGATCTTAAGGGTATTCATAAAAATCAACGACGTTTTATCACTTAAAATCAAATTAAAATAATTCGAGTTTTTATTTCTATCATGTATATTTTTTTTCGTTTTGACATGAAATGCAGATCATTTCAAGATGTTGTTTAATTTTACTAAAGATATAATTCAAGAAATATTTTCTGGAAAGGAAGCTCTGAGCTGGTGTAGCGCATAGGAATTCAACGCTGATATTCCTATTCCGAGAGATATACCGTAATGACTGTTCCTCCGATGTGTCACTGTACAGTGACTTTGCCTCCGAGTAACCGCCATTAAGGCGCTCGTTAGTCATACGCTGAACAAAGCACTGCAATGGGGTGCCTGCATTTTGTTTTTAATGTGGACTAAGTTGTGCCTGCCGTTGTTCGCCCTTTTCCGATGGCCAGTTTAACGGCCGTGGTACGGAACGCTCGACCTGGTTCCCGTGAACTCCAACCTGTTCTTGGAGCGTAGGAGAGCCGCCTGGATTGGGGGCTCTCCTCTTTACTCTCTACCCGGGGGGCCTTTTTCCGTTCTCCCGCTCATCCGGGAACCTAGTTGTTTGGTGTAAGGACGACGCCCGCGGCGGGAGGAGGTCGACGAGCGTTCCCGACTTCGGGAACGGAGTGACTCCTCCCGCGGATACAAAAGAGATCGGACCTATATCGTACATCTTTCTTTGCTCGCTCTGGACTGCGCTCTCGGAACGGTGTCGATAGGGTGAGCCTGTCATCTGACCATGTCGGCGCGGGGGTTTTGGGACAGTGTGTCTTTTGGCTTTCTAAGAAACACAATTGGACGCAGTCCTATTATGGTACGTGGTCCTCCTTTTCAGAGAAGCCATTAGTTGTGCGGCTATCGTTCGGACCCGCCCATAGCGCTGTTCTCGAGAGAAAGCTGTGGGATCTGAGAGTAGGCTTGGCGTCTCCCGTTTAGAAACAGCCGTTGAAACCTTCGGTTACTACCACCCGCGACCATCCCATAAAGTAAACATTTAGAGGCGACGTCGAAGAACAAATCAGGACGCAATAAAAAGCACTATGTAAACTGCATAGTATGCGCCTGTTTAGATTATCTGAATACAAAAAAAAGTTAATGTAACTCGATTAAAACTATATTATATTTTGACGCACCAGCAACATTTTGGCTAAATTTTTTTACCTGTGAAATTCTTGGGTTATTTTATTCGAGAGGGTGACCTTGCAGAACCGTCTATTCCAATAGTTAGTGCAACTCTTTCACGAAAATTCTTTGCGCAATTATGCCGGCTCAAGTGGCTCGATCGAAAACCTACTAACCTAACCCGCTGGAGACAATGACGAGTCTTCCTTTTGAGTCTCGAAGCAGCGGCAGGAACCTCTTGGCGACAAGAGTGGTGCCGAAGACGTTCACGTCGAACACGGACCGAATCCGATCCATGGTCTGCCACTCAATGGGGCCATGGTTGGGCACGCCAGCATTGGCCACCACCGACCAAAGAACTGCAAGTGAGAAGAAAAAAATACGAGAAGCGGCTTTTATCTGTCTGAAGTGCAATCAACACAACGACGTTTTATTTAAGACGGTCAGGGGGTGCCGCTGCTGTTGATCGCACACAAATGCGTTTTTAGACAACTCCGTTGATTTCTTTACAATACCGAATACGAAAACAACTAAAGGTTCACACGTTCTTTTTTCGTGTTGCAACTGGTTAAAGAAGGAAATCGGGCAGTCTTGTAACCAGCGAATGACCAGTCCCCAGCGGCAAACCTTGGTAACGACTTTCGTTTGGCTCGAGGTTGATTTTCGCAACAGTTACAGAATTGCGGTTGAGGCTTTCATTGTACACTCCTGACATTTGCGTCACAATGAACACAGTACGCATAAAAGAAAAGACATTTAAATATCTAAAAAGTTACGGCTTCTTGGGGACTTTTAGGGAACCGTTTTTGGATATTCAATACGGTACGATGCCCCCTCCGGTGCGAACCGCGGATCTGAGGGTCTTCTGCTGTAGCGCATGAGCATTTCGTGCCGGAGAGCCCATCGTACCGTATGGGGTCTGCAAAAACAGTTCACTAAAATTCTCCATTAACTCTGTGACGCTTGAGTACCATTGGGTGCCTACTGGGCCTCCTTGATTTGCATGCCACGTATTCAGAGAGTTCTTGAATTGATTGTGCCGCCTCAAGCGATGTATGAATTAGCGCACAGTCATAGATTGACGAAAGGTATTCGCGTTTTTAAACTCTAACACGTGAAACTGCCTTGGAATGCATCGTGATAACACAATGTTTTCCCACAAACATACTCTGGGTGCCTGTGCTTCACTTGCCTTCAAGGCCACTTTTAGCGCAAAACGGATCTTCAGAGAGAGAGATCGATTGGGACCCATTGAGTCCAGTCGTCTCGGAAGATGCCTCACGTAGCCAAAGGGGTTGTTCAGGTGGCAGAACACCGCCGAAATTTTCCTTTATTCTATATATATATATATAGAAGACTGGAACGGCGGTTTCTAGTTTACCCGTAACAATATATATAAATATATATATATATATATATATATATATATATATATATATATTGTTACTGGTAAACCAAAAACCGTCGTTCCAGTCTTCTTTCTTCGTCTTCTCTTACTACTGTTAGTCCACCTCTTCTACCTTTACCGTTACATTCGCCCCTCCCGTGCACTGGGCTGTCCGTCTCGGACAGAAGCAACATGTTCATCGCGCGTTACGTAAAGTTTCAGTTGGCCAACGTGAGCCGTGAGAGTCCGGTGTCTACCTGGTTGAGGCAGCGTCCGAAGCTTCTCGAGGCGATATGTTACCGGACAGAGCTGTTTGCATATTTTAAAGAGTCCGCAGTACCTTGGCATTAATTTCTCCAATCGCTGTGGGCGTCTGAAATGACTTCGAAGAAGCACCAAATCTCCCGGATTGAACGACGGTCTCCCATTTACTCTTCTTAGACGCCCTGCATGCAGCGACTGCTTGTGAAGGATGGCCAGTCTAGCTTTTTCCCTTGCTTCGATTAATCGGGCGGAAAAGTTACCATCATAGTCTTCTGTCCGGCGGGTCCATGTCGTCTCGATTGCCGTCTTTTCTGGAAGCGTGGGGAGTCTCCCGTAGACTAGCTCGAATTGCGATTGACTCGTCGTTTCTTGTTGAGACGTGTTTAGTGCAAACGCGGCTGTGCAGAAGTATTGGTCCCAGTTCTTGTGGGACGCGTTCACGAATGCTGCCATTACATCGACCAATGTGCGGTTGGTGCGCTCGACAAGACCATTTGTTTGAGGGTGGTAGGGTGAGGCCGCTACATGTTGCATCCCGTAATTTCTAAGGGCATCCTTGAAACAACGCCACATGAATGACGTTCCTCTGTCAGAGATTATCGTCCGCGGAGCTCCGTGCCAACACACTAGATGGTTATTTACGAAGCTGACAAGGTGCACCGCTGACGTATCGGGAACTGCTTTGACCTCAACCCACTTCGTTAAGTAGTCGGTCGCCACAATAATGTGCCTGTTGCCAGTATATTATTTCGCGAAGGGAACAAGGTGATCTATTCCTAATACTTCGAATGGACTCCTTGTGGGAGGTATCTGTTGAAGGTCTGGTTTGCCTAGTTTCGGTAGCGTTTTGCGCATTTTACAAACAGTACATGAAGCGACGTACCGCCGAACGTCGTCCCTCAAACCCGTCCACCAGAATCTTCGTAGGATCTTGTCAAGCGTTCGACGCTGTCTGAGATGCCCTGAGGTCGGAGCGTCATGCAACATCTCCAAGATATTTTGCCTAGCTTTCCTGGGGACAACAGGAAGCCACGGTCCTGAAGCACGTGAACGATGGCAAAATAGACCATCTCGTAGCTCGTAATGTTTTTGCAAGCAACGCAGTCGTCGTGAAGAAAGTGAAGACGAATCGTAACTTCCGAGCGTAAGCAACTGAATTATTTTCGATGCTTCGGCATCTTCCGATTGCATGTTTTGCAGATCTAAGATTGAAGACACAGGAAGAACTTGTAGCTCCTCTATCGGCATACGTGACAGGAAATCAGCATCTTGATGGTTCCTCCCACTCCGGTGAACAATAGAGAAGTCGTACTCTTGCAGCTCCATGGCCCATCTTGTTAACTTCGGGGTAAGGTCGCTCTTGGATTGAAGCCACCGCAATGCTACGTTATCCGTGACCACCGTGAAACGCTTGCCATAGATATGTAGCAGCCGAGCTAGTGGTGCTTCCGCGAGGATGAAAAAGAAGCATCTCGGCGCGAACACAGAGAACGAGACACCACGAGCTGGGAGATTCGGCGACGGAGCGGCCCGGCGGCTACATCGAGCGATGCCCAGGACAGTTTCATTTCTTTTGTAAATATTGTAAATAAAAAGTATGTTGGGACGTATATTCCTGGTTCCAACATAATTGGTGACCCGGACGTGATTCTGCCATGTCTACGGAGTCTGGTGAGCCTGCACACTCGGCAAGTGCCTCCCAAGCAAGCACCGCCTTGGGAATCGCCGCTACCTCGGTCCTCACTTTACCGAAGTTTTGGGCTGAGGATCCAGCGCTCTGGTTCGTACAAGTGCAAAACAAATTCCGCTTGCATCGCATAACCTCCCAGACCCGGCAATACGAGCTCCTCGTTGACGCCCTCCCGCCGCAAGCCGCTACCGAGGTGCGGGACGTTTTACTTTCCCCAAGCGGTGACACTCCTTACGAAGTTCTTAAAGAAGCCTTGGTCAGTCGCCTCGTCGCCTCTGAACAACGACGCCTTCAGCAGCTCCTCAGCGCAGAAGAGCTAGGCGACCGTCGACCCACCCAGTTCTTGCGACACCTGCAACATCTTCTGGGCGACAAGGCAGCCTCCATCGACGCCGCCATCCTCCGTGAGCTATTTCTACAACGGCTGCCGGCTTCTGTTCGTGTCGGCCTAGTGGTAGCCCACAGGCTTCCGCTTGTAAAACTGGCCGAGCTGGCGGATCGAATTATGGAGGTTTCCGGTCCCACCGTCGGAGCAACACAACAGTCTCCAGACCTTGTTTCGGACATCGCTAAGCTCCGTCAAGAAGTGCAGAACCTGACGATCATCGTGTCCGAGCTTCGGCGGGAATCCCGTGACCATGCTCAATCGTCACAGCAACACTCCGGTCGCGAAAGTCGCCGTCGACCATCGCCGTCGCCTCGCCCTCCAGACAAGTCGCTATGTCGGTACCACCGACAGTTCGGACCGAATGCCCGCCGCTGTTGTTCACCCTGTTCCTGGAACCAGAAAAACGGGACGGCCGATCGCTAGTGGCGGCGAGCGACCCATATCGGCCCACCAGTCGCCTCTTCCACATCCACGACAAGATCGTCGGCACCCGTTTCTTAGTGGACACAGGCGCTGAGGTCAGCATCATTCCAGCCTCATTTTTTGATCGCCGGAATCGCGTCCAAACTACATCATTGCAAGCTGTCAACGCTTCTCCCATCAAGACGTATGGACAAAAATCACTAACGTTGGACCTTGGCCTCCGACGACGGTTCCAGTGGTTGTTCTGGGTTGCAGACGTCAGCTACGCAATAATTGGAGCAGATTTCCTTCGGAACTTCAACATCTGGGTGGACATGACACAAAGAAGGCTAATTGATGCGACCACTCACCTACAAGTCTCTGGTATTGCGTCTCGAGCGCCAGCTCTTAGCCCCACTTTCGGCAAGCCACCTTCCAATTCATTTGCCAGGCTGCTCGAGAACTACCCAGACCTCATCAACCCGCACAACATCGGCGAGGTACCTAAACATGACGTCACTCATCATATTGTGACGACGGGCCCGCCTGTCCATTGCCGACCACGTCGACTCGGACCTGAAAAGCTGCGGGTCGCACGGCAGGAATTCGAGCATATGCTCCAACTCGGAGTCGTACGCCCATCCTCTAGTCCCTGGTCGTCCCCTCTGCACATGGTGCCCAAAAAGAGCGGCGATTGGCGACCGTGCGGGGATTATAGGGCTTTGAACTCAGCTACCATTCCTGACCGGTACCCGATCCCAAACGTTCAAGACTGCACTGCCTTTTTGAAGGATACCACCATTTACTCGAAGATAGACCTCATAAAGGCTTACCATCAAATTCCGGTTGAACCTGCTGACATACACAAGACGGCCATAACAACTCCTTTCGGCCTCTTTGAGTTCGTCACAATGCCGTTTGGGCTGCGTAACGCAGCCCAAACCTTCCAGCGATTTATTGACCAGGTCATCCGCGGTTTGCCTTTTTGTTTTGCCTACTTTGACGACCTCCTCGTAGCGAGCAAAACCCCTGAGGAACACAAGCGCCATCTCACCACACTGTTCGACAGGCTACACGAGTATGGCATTATAATAAACGTGGACAAATGCCAGTTTGGTGTACCAGAGCTGACCTTTCTTGGCCATCACATTGACTGTCAAGGTATCCGACCACTACCAGACAAGGTCAAAGTCGTCACCGATTGTCCACAACCTACAACAAAACGCGC